TAAAAAAAAAAGTGTAACTACAGTCTCGCTTCATCCCCAAAGCAGTAAACATTTATTAATATGTGTTAGTGTTAAGGCGGAAAGTAAAACCAGAATGGCATAAACCCTACAAGTGAGTAGGGTTCCTTTAGAATTCTCTATCTGCTGCCAATTTACCACTTGGGATTCAATTTAATCTTAAAGGCATAATTATTTTTAAAAAATTTCTTTTGCATCTGTAGACAGACAGAATGCCTTTATTTTATTTGTTGATTTTTATGTGGTGCTGAGGATCAAACCTAGTGCCTCAAGTATGCTAGGCAAGTGCTTTGCCACTGAACTGAACTACAGCCCCAGCCCTTAAAGGCTTTTTTTTTTTTTTTGAAAAATCTAAATACCTAAAACATGGTCTTTCCTCTAGAATTTTCTTATATGATGTGGGAATCAGAGTTGATTGTCAAAAATTGATAGATGAAGAAAGTAAAGAAGAAGTATAATATTTGAATTTATGAAAGGTGGCCAACAGGAGAGTCACAAAAATACAGCTAATGAAAACTGGGAGAAAGAAGGGGTGGGACAAAAGATGTGAATTTGTCATGCTTCCATTCCGGAATAAAATAATTACTGCTTTCAAACATGAAAAACCAAGAAATGCAAATATAAGCATGTAATTTTGATTTATGAAAATAACCATCCAGACAAATACAGAAATTGGCATTAATGTTCATCTCTGCAGAGTGGGACTAGGGGTAAAAGAGGGAAGATTTCTACTTTAATTTTATCTTTTATTCTTTCTAAACTTTCATTTTTGCATACATATGCACTTCATAAATTTTTTTAAAAGTCAGCAGTTATTAAGCTATGTTTTTCTAGGAAGCTTTTCGTCTGCTCTCTGAAATGTCCATTGCAAGTACTCTCTACTTCATCAGATGGACTTCATCTCAACTTTCCACCTGTAAACTTAGAAACACCTTCTTTTTCTTTCAAAATTAAGGAGTGTCTGTTTACCTACCATCTGTGAATTGGATCCAAGCCCCTCTTACTTCTTCAGAAGTTGTTACTGTCTTTTACTCTAAGATATTCAAACTCTTCCTCTCTGTTAGGTCTACCAACCAGCATTTGCACATATTCAAGCTACTCACACCTTAAATTCAAAGCAGCCTTGATTGACCCCAAGAACTTCTCCAGTTTTCCTCTCTCTACTTTTCATAGTGAAAAGTCTCCACTTCCTTCCCTTGAGCTCCAATATAGAATTTGCCTCCAGCACTCTAGCAAAAATGTTGGAGTTGGAGTTGTGGCTCAGTGGGTAGAGCACTTGCCTAGCATGTGTGAGGTGCTGGGTTTGATTCTCAGCACCACATATAAAATTAAAGGTCCATGGACAATTAAAAAAATATTTTTTAAAAATGCTTTTGCTCATCTCACCAATGGCTCCAATCTCTAAACCCGACTATTAATATCAACCTTCCTCTTACTTGATTTCTGCACAGTTTCTAACTCAGGGCATACTTTCTTCTTAAAACATTCCCTTGCTTTGTGTTTCAGGACAACACACCTTATCACTGTGATTCAGCTTCCTTGTGACCTCACACATTATTGCACATCATTTGTGTATAAGTTTTCCCTTCATTTTGAAGTGTTCTTAAACCAAGCCAGAACCTCAGCCATGTCACTGATGGGAGTGTTTGCTCCGCACTCCATATGCAGACCTTCATACCAAGTGCTTCCATGCTTCAAACCTCTAGGTTTTTCCTTTCTGCAGAAAGGCCAGCTTCCCACTGGAATTTATAATGTATTTCTTCAGAGATATGATATAGCAGCTGTCTATGAATGTGCTTCCAATTATAGTAGAAAACTTAATCTTGTGAAATGAAGAGAACTCAGCCACTTGTTTGAATCTCAGCTGGGACAGTGGAAGCAGATGTTTCTCAGTTGGCTGGGATCCTCTTCCTTTTCTCTTCTGATAGGTGCCTAGTGGGGCAACAGTGGAATAGAGGCATAGGTATTATCCTAGCATTTTCTGTGCTTTCTTCTGCTGATAGTGGAACAGTTTGATCTCCCAACACAAGCAAGGCACTTTTACTGATCACTTCTAGAACAATTGTCAGAGGTTTCCTCTATTGATTTGGCCCATCTAAACCTCAATGATCTATTTTTTTTTTTTTTTTGTACTGGGGTGCTTAACTACTGAGCAATCCTCAGCCCTTTTAATTTTTTTTTTTTTTTGAACCCAGGGGTGCTTAACTACTGAGCAATCCTCAGCCCTTTTTATTTGTTTATTTTTATTTTGAGACAGGGTCTTTCTACATTATTGCTTAGGGCCTAAGTTGCTGAGGCTGGCTTTGAACTTGCGCGCCTCCTGCCTCAGCCTCCTCAGCTTCTTGAGCAGAGTCACTGGATTACAGGTGTGCTTCATCCATCACCCAGGCTTGATTGGATATCTTATTGAGAACTAACTGCTGGTTGGTTGCAATGGCTCTCACCTGCAATCCCAGCAGCTAGAGAGGCTGAGTCGGGAGGATTGCAAATTCAAAGCCAGTCTCAGCAATTTAGCGAGGCCCTAAAGCATCTTAGTGAGACCCAAACTCAAAATAAAAAGGGCTGGAAATGTGGCTCAGTGGTTAAGTGCCTCTGGGTTAAATCCCTGGTACCAAAAGAGGCACGCCTCCCGCCCTCGGAGGCGGGGGAGGGAGGACGGGGGGGGGAGGGGGGGGGGGGGGGGGGGGGGGGGGGAGGGGGGGGGGGGGGGGGGGGGGGGGGGGGGGGGGGGGGGGGGGGGGGGAGGGGGGGGGGAGGACGAGGGGGCGGGGGGGAGGACGAGGGGGCGGGGGGGGGAGGACGAGGGGGCGGGGGGGAGGACGAGGGGGCGGGGGGCGGGGACAACTGACAGCTTCATCCTTTGTCCACTCACAGCCTAACATCACCTTGGACCTTGGTGCCTGGCAGGCACTTCACCATTCAACACTTTTCAGGAAAGTTTTGGATTTCCTCCAGGTGTGTGCACCAAGGTGCATGTGCCTGTGTTAAGGCAGAGGAGGGAGTGATGTGGTCAGTTATCAAAGCTGTAAAAGGCCCTCTGTGTTCATTTCTCCTCTTCTTAAGGCTAACCCCTGCTGATTTAAGAGTGCCAAGGGAGCTTTCTTCTTCCAGAGGTTAAGGAAGAGCCGAGTCCTGCTGTTAGACCTCAAAATCAATCTAGCAATTTATATCATCCCAAACTCCCCTCATTTTATCCCACATTCTCCTTAATTTTCCGAGTTATTACCTATGTTCTCCTCTCACCTTCTCTCTGAAACTCTTCCCCAGCCCAGACTTTTTTTGTTATGTATATATTCTTCTCAATCTTTGTATGTCAACTTTTTAAGAATCAAAGGAAAAATACACCTATCTTTTGTCAAATACTCAGGTTTTGCAAGTAAGAAGTATAGCTTTCTGACTATATTGCTTTTATTACAACTTTAAAAATTATCTTGAAATTTAGATTCTAATTTGCTCTCCCTTCAAGGCAGTAAGAAAAAAAAGAAAATTCTTGGTTTAAAATTCACCAGTATTATCTAGGTATGTAATCACAGATTATTTTAATTGTCGGTGAGTTCCTTACTAAAGAATTCATGAAAGAAGAAAATATGAAATTCTGCATCTTTTAAATAGCCAGATTTCTGCACATCTTTTTCCCCCCTCTGAATTTTCAGCAACCGTAACAAAGACCACATAGCAAAATTAGAAGCAAAATCCCAAGCTTCAAAATTTCTTTGTGCCCGTTATAGTTTCTTTTCAACCCATGGAATGGCAGGAAAGTAGACAATATTGTTTTCATCACTATCTGGGTTTTGATTGTCTCAACATGTATATAAATTATGTAACTTTTTTGTTGATCTTATCGGATTTTAGCTAACGTGACCTTTGTTATTTGATTATTCTTATTGTCCATAAAGTTCACATTAAAGGAAAATTTAAATTTCGCAATTTTATCATTATGTATAATTTTAAAGATTATTAATTTTAAAACGTTAAAAATAAGCAAGCCTACAGTAAAGTATATGTTTAACTGTAGACAGGAAAAAGTGCGGGGAGGCGGGGGAGATACCTCAAGGAGGCGAAGAGGTTTGGAGCGGTACCGGCCATTGGCTATTTGTGTAGTCGAGAGTCAAAATTGTTAAATTTAAGGAAGTGCTACAGTACAAAACGTTGGTGTGTTCTGTTACGTTATTGACCAAAAACGAAAGGGAGAGGAAGGAGGTATTGTCTACGCTGAACCACTGAACTAAAAGAAACTGCGGAAACCAACCCCGGTGCCTGCCAAGCAAGGACTAGCTTCCAAGACTGCACCCCGCTCAGCACTACCCAACTGGATAAATGGTTTAACTTCGTTACGTTTAGGCACTCCCCCATTCCTAAACGCCGTCAGAGACTCGGCCTCAGAATGCCTCGCCTATCTACATTCAAAACAGTGCCAGCAGCTGTTTTCCCGCAGCAAAACAAACCCGGTGCAAGCTTTTGTTTATTTTGGTTGCGCTCAGTAGTCAGCGTCCTGGGGGGGGAGACCCGAAGACGGCGCCCCCGAATGGCGGCACCGTGTCTCCAGGGCTCGGCCCGCCTGCCAGTCAGCCCCGCCGACCAGGCGGCTCGACGCACACACTCGCCTCTACTACAGGCGCCGCACCGGGCTGGGAGGGGGACTGACGGAGCGTGCGGCGTCACAAAGCGAAGCCAGAACGCACGGGTTTCCGCCGAGGTTCGGGACGCCCCGGGCGAACCCCACTAGCGGCCCTCCCTCGCGGGGCGGGAGGCGCCAAGCGCCCGTCTCCAGTCTCCCTCCTTTCCCCAGCGGACTGCTCTAGAGCGGCTTGGCGCGGCCGCGGCGTCGCCGCGGCCCGACGCCGCAAAGCGTCCTGGGAGAGCCGGCTCGCACCGGAAGGACGCGCGAGCGCGCGGCGGCGGCGAGGTTATAAAAGGGAAGGAGCCGGCGGCAGGCGGAAGTGGGCGGTTCAGCTGCTCTGGACGCTGTTGTTTGGTGTGTGGGCCTCCTGAGGGGCGTTCTCTGGAGGGCAGCCGGTGCAGGCCGCAGTGACAGGGCCGTTCGCCCCTGCGCACCCTGTCTCTTACCCGGTGCAGCGTCTGCTGGTGCCCTCCGCGTCCTGCAGGCCCAACATGGCGCAGGAGGTGTCGGAGTACCTGAGCCAGAACCCGCGGGTGGCCGCCTGGGTGGAGGCGCTGCGCTGCGAGGGCGAGACTGACAAACACTGGCGCCACCGCCGGGAGTTTTTGCTCCGCAACGCCGGGGACCTGGCCCCCGCGGGTGGCGCTGCCTCTGCTAACCCGGACGAAGCTGCCGACGCCGAGAGCGGGACCCGCAGTCGGCAGCTGCAGCAGCTCATCTCCTTTTCCATGGCCTGGGCAAACCACGTCTTCCTTGGGTGCCGGTGAGTAAGGAAGCGTCCCTGACCGGCTTTCGGTTTTCTCTCCCGCCTCCGAACTGGGACCTGGGACCCGGGGTCTTGAGCCCTTCGTAGTACGGCCTCGGTGGGGAGGGGAAGTTGTGAAGCGCGGGAATTCACGGGACCGGCTGCCCTCTAAGGGTGAGAAGGGCGTCTCGGCGAGCCGCGGACACAATTAACAGTCTGTGGGTGTCCCCGTTGTAGGGGGACTGTTGGTGGGGTTGTTAGTGTAAAGCTGACAACGTTCTTGTAGTTGAAAGCAAGGTTTAAAGGTTAGTGAGGAGAGATCCGCCCACCAGATCCTAAGGCATTTGTTTATGGGCTTCCAGGAAACTAAAAGTTCTTGGCGGTTGGTACACTTTCTTGATTGCAACCAGGAAATGCAGTTCCTGTGGCTTTTTTTTTTTTTCCTTCTGCACTCCACAAGTAGTAGTTTAAAGAAAAACACTTTTTAAAAGTGACTTTTCTTTCTTTTTCAGGTACCCTCAAAAAGTTATGGATAAAATTCTTAGTATGGCTGAAGGCATCAAAGTGACAGATGCTCCAATCCATACAACAAGAGACGAACTGGTTGCCAAGGTGAAGAAAAGAGGGATATCGAGTAGCAATGGTTAGCAGATCATAGATGTGAACATACATAGGAGTTTAGAAAATAAGTTTGATATAATTAGGAATTGTCATTACTAATTTTTTTTAACAAGTTAGAATTTATATAATGTTATTAAATTGGAATGTTAACCTAAATTATATGTCTGTGTGTTTTAGGCTCTGAATTTGATAGTTTATTTTGCTGTAGAGTTTGAAGTGTCCCATGTTGTCTGATGCTGTTAATATTTTTAATATTAGAAATTAATGGTTATTCAACACTGTTTTAAGAAGTTATTTCACACTTTTTAAAGGAACTACTAGTTCTGAAATATTTTTACGTTGTGCCTTTATATAATTGAATATTTGTCTTGTCAGCTGATATATATGATGTATTTTCTAGTTAAATATCTGTTTTTTCCTTCTTTTTAGAAGGGGTAGAAGAGCTATCCAAAAAACGAATCATAGAAGGAAAAAACAACTCTGCAGTTGAGCGAGATCTTGCAAAAATTTCTGCCAAAACAGAACGTACATCAGCTCAGCCAGAAAACAGTTCTACATGTTCCGGGTCATGCACCAAATCAGAGAGTAGTGGAAACTCCACTCGGAGCTCTGGCATCTCTGGTCAGAATAGCTCTATGAGTGAAGGAGATCGATCTGTTTCCAGCCAAAGCAGCAGCAGCATTTCCTCTCAGGTAACAACAGCAGGATCTGGAAAAGCTTCTGAATCAGAAGCTCCAGATAAGCATGGTTCAGCATCATTTGTTTCTTCGTTGTTGAAATCCAGTGTGAATAGTCACGTGACCCAGTCCACTGATTCCAGACAACAAAGTGGCTCACCTAAAAAGAGTGCTTTGGAAGGTTCTTCAGTCTCTACTTCTCAGAGCAGCTCAGAGATTGAGGTGCCCTTGTTGGGTACTTCTGGAAGCTCAGAAGTAGAGTTGCCATTATTGTCTTCTAAACCTAGTTCAGAGACAGCTTCAAGTGGGTTAACTTCCAAAACTAGTTCAGAGGCAAGTGTTTCATCATCAGTTTCTAAAAACAGTTCCTCATCAGGCACATCATTACTAACTCCCAAGAGCAGCTCAACAAATACATCACTGCTCACTTCCAAAAGCACTTCCCAGGTAGCTGCATCACTGTTAGCTTCCAAGAGCAGCTCCCAGACCAGTGGATCTATGGTTTCCAAAAGTACTTCCTTAGCAAGTGTGTCCCAGCTAGCTTCTAAGAGTAGTTCTCAGAGTAGCACCTCACAGTTGCCTTCTAAAAGTACTTCACAGTCAAGTGAGAGTTCTATCAAGTTCTCTTGTTGCAAATTAACCAATGAAGATGTGAAACAGAAGCAACCTTTCTTCAATAGACTGTATAAAACAGTGGCATGGAAATTAGTAGCTGTTGGTGGCTTTAGTCCCAATGTGAATCATGGAGAGCTCCTAAATGCAGCTATTGAGGCTCTGAAAGCAACACTGGATGTGTTTTTTGTCCCACTAAAAGAACTGGCAGATCTGCCTCAAAATAAGAGCTCTCAAGAAAGTATTGTTTGTGAATTGAGGTGCAAGTCAGTGTACTTGGGCACTGGCTGTGGAAAAAGCAAAGAAAATGCAAAAGCAGTTGCATCAAGAGAAGCATTGAAGTTATTTCTTAAGAAAAAGGTGGTGGTAAAAATATGTAAAAGGAAATACAGAGGCAGTGAGATAGAAGATCTAGTACTCCTTGATGAAGAATCAAGACCTGTAAACTTACCTCCAGCTTTAAAACATCCTCAAGAATTACTATAATCTATAATATGTTCAAAATATCACTGCATACAGTATCTGGTATTTGAAGAGAAAACTGGCTTACTTTTGTACAATATAAAACAGGCTTTCACAAATTTTGTATTGCTTTTTTCCAGTTTTGCAGAAAAATTTACATTCTAATTCTCTTCACATAAGTAGAAGTTGTAAATAATTTATGAATGACAGTACATATTAAAAAGGTATGCATTAACAGCATACCAGTATGCTGTTTTATTTGCTGAAGAAAATACTGTCTTCTATTTTTAATGATGTATTAGGTACGATGTGTAGTTCTGTAGAGTCTTAAAATTTTTGTACTACTTTAAATTTGGTGAAAATGTATTAAGTTGTCTACCATGCTTTTTTTTTTAGCTGAATAAATCACATCAAAGAAAAGGGGACCACAGTATTTGAATGTCTGAAAGTCTGAGAAACTTAAGGTTTTAAGAATGTTGCCCATAGTGTTGAACATGTCTGTAAGAGAATAAAAGAAAAAATAGTTGCCTCAGACTATTTTTATGAGAAGTTGTAAGCATTTTTTAGATATAAAGCAGTATAATGTACTTATTGTTATTTTATTCTGAAGTTGTTTAAAATTCACCATGATTTTGACCGCTGCTGATTCTTTAAGCGGGTTAATTTATGTTTTGAGGTAAAATACAATTTACACTTTTTCTTAAAGACATAAATGTGGGTTTCTATATTAAGCATATTTTGTGACTACTATTAACAGATTGATTTGTTTAGATATTAAATGCTTTAAGCTATTTTACCTTTTCAAGAAGTTGTGTTTTTTTTTCTCCTTTAGGTCAGAACCAAGTCTTACAATAGGCTTCCCACTGTTAGTCATAGTAAATTACAACCGAGTGATTTTTAAAGTGATATACAACTTTTTATGAACAGGGAAGCTACAATTTTCAAATCTCAGAAAAATACTGAAAATTGATACCATGTTCAGTTTAATGATCCTGTTTAACTGAATTATATCTCTTAGTAATGAAGTAGAACTTTACTTGTTGAAGGTGATTCTGATGATATTAATCTATTATGGCATATTCTGTTTTCTTCAAACTGTGGCCTAAGATATTTGATTATCTTTGTGGCCTTCTGGCTTCCTAGATGCTGTTATTAGGTGCTGCGTATTGAGCAGTCACGGTGAAAATGTACAGAGACAAGAAATGACTATTTATGGGTCAGCTGTATTGAAATAGGAAAATAATCAGGGACATTTTAATTTTATCAGATAACATTTTAAAAATGATTCATTTTTGAGGATGTTTCATTGGATACCAGAGCTAAAATCTGTGTTCTATAAATGAGTTACCATTAATACATTGTGGGGAGCAATAACATGAATGTATTTTTAAAGCACTTTTAATTGCTCACTTTCCTTAGTCTTGGAATGTACATTTTGTGAGACAGTGCTTACCAAAAAAGTGAGCCAGAAACTAGAAAGAATAAATACATTTCCGAAATATATCTAATTAGGTTATTTTGTTAATTTCCTGAAATGTCTTTTTTTAAAGTTAATATAAAGGTTATATATTTTAAATTATAAGTTTTTGATGTTGAAGAAGCTGCCTAGTAGAACAGATGTTTCACATACAAACATTTGTTATAATCTTATTTCAAAACAAAAATACTCTTATTATAAAAGTTAATCAGAATTTAAAGAACCTGACTTAAGAGGAACATTTTTTCACATTTCCTCAAAATAGTAGATGCAGAAGAAAATAAAAGCTTTGGGATCTGTTACTATTGATGTAAAATCTTGGTTCTATCTCTTACTAGATGTGGAACTTCTGGTAAACTTTAAGCCTTACTTCAGCTATAAAATAGGACTAGTAGCCACCTCATAGAGCTATGAAGATTAATTGAAATGATAGTTTAAAGTGCGCAGCATAGTGAAGGCATACCATAGTTTACTTGTGTACACATGTTCTAATTTCCTCATGACTTTACAAGTAGCTATTCTCATTTGACCTATGTTTTCTAATGAAGAAATAAACACGCTTTGGTTAAAAAATTCTATCAAGCTCATGTCTGGTTTCAGAACCCAAGCCCATAAGTATGTTCATCCTCACCTCTTTGCAGTTTTTTTTTTTTTTTTTTTTTTAAACCATCTCAGAGGGCTGGGGCTGGAGCTCAGTGGTAGAGCACCCACCTCGCACGTGTGACAGGCACTGGATTTGATTCTCAGCACCACATAAAAAAAAAAAAGATTAAAAAAAAAAAAAAACTTCAGAATGTAATTTTCTGCCAGTTTAGATCAGTGGTTATAACATCTTTCCAAAGCCCTTTGAAATGAATCTCTTCAGAAGCTCTTCTTTGTTATTAATGCTTCTCCATACTTGCATGTCCTAAATTTTGTCTAGTGAGTCATCCCATAGGGTGCATTTGAAGTTTGAAAAGAAAAATGAATAATTTGCAATCAAATTTAGTGAATAAAGAAGATAGCAATAACAGATTTTTAAATCAGTGAGGTAAGATGGTTGTCCTAAGACAGATTTTTCTTCTTGCTAAAATCAGGATTTTTTTTTTTTTTTTTTTTTAACGTTAGAATGTTGGCTTTGAGAGCTAGGGCTGTAGCCCAGCAGCAGAGCTCTTGCCTAGCACGCGTGAGGCTGGGTTTGATTCTCAGCACCACATAAAAATAAAATAAAGGCATTCTGTCCATCTACAAAATAAATAAAAGTTGACTTTGAAATATAGAACTGTATTTGACCCAAATTCTTGGGATTTGCCACTGCTGCCATTAGCCAGGATAATTGTCTAGGGTATGTGTATTATACGGTCTTGGTAATGTATTATCAAAAGCCAGTGCCAATTTAAGTTCCTTATGAAAGAGACAAAGTTTTCCCTGTCAAGGTCAGCTTTTCTTGGTGCAGATTTCTCCTTGCTGTTTGGATTCCTGAGTTAAATAGCAGAAGGTAAACAAAGCAAGCAGCAACTGGGTACCAAGTCAGTCCTACAGGTCTTACGCTATTATAATTTAAGGGGGATTTGCAGGCTTTGTCCTTAAAAATAGTGAAGTTCTAAATTGACCCATTTTCTAGATGTGACAAATCTTTGGATATCAATTTTCACATGATTTTCAAAACTTGTTTTCTGTGGTTTGAAATAAATTCACTTTATACCTTAAACAAAAATAAATTAATATAGGGCTTATCAAATCTTTATATTTGCAGCTGCCCCCCAAGAAAAGTAATACTGTAGACTGTTCATATTTCTTTGACATCTCTAACACAACTTTTTGCTATCCAGCTAGAGCAACTTCTTTCCCCTTACTTTTCAGTTTTCCACTGGGGATGTGATTTGCAGGTGGTAAGGTACCTAGCATGCATGAGGCCCTGGGTTTCAGTACCCATACTCAAAAACAAACCCTTTCCAATTTTCTTTCCTTCCTTAAAAAAACTGAAGATTATTTGAAAATTAATTTTTAAATTTCTCATTTTCTGTTCCTTTGCAATTTATCAAACAAGAAAAATAGTGTAGTGAAAAAGGAACCAAACTAAATTGACTTTAACCTGGAAGGAAGTAAAGAAAAGTAACAGTAAACAAAGGATAGATATAAGACTTTATTTTTTATAAAAATTAGAGATTTCATGTGCTAGTACTTAAGAAATAATTATAAAAACTCTGATTTTGAAACTGGAAAAAGTAAAATCAATCCTTGGAGGACACTGGGTAACAACCAAAAATAATATAATTCAAGCAGTAAGTACACTGAACTCTTTTTTTTTAAAGAGAGGGAGAGAGAGAATTTTTTTTTTAATTTTCGGCATTCCAGGCGAGCATGCTACCACTTGAGCCACATCCCCAGCCCCTACACTGAACTCTTATTATATTGAAGTGGGACTTATAGCTTGAAAAGTATAGAGACATGCACAAAAAGATGGAATGGAATGGTAAGAATCACTTAGTGTTTTTTGGGGGAGGCTAAGGCAGGTGGATGTTATGTTCAAGGCCAGCCTGGGCAACTTAGTGAAACCCTGTCTCAAAAGGGCTAGGCATGTAGCTCAGTGGTTGGAACACCCTGTGTTCAATTCCCCATACCATTAAAAAAATAAAAAATCCTGAAGGCATCAGGACCTTAAATCCTGAATCACTCAGTTGCACAACACCAGGGGGAGCCATTTGCATGGAATATAATGGATGTCATTTAATTCAGTAGATTGTGGTGCTCTTTGAGTTGTGGAACAGGAAGCCTTTTTGGAAACCCTGATATTGAATAAGTAAAATTTACCAGAAAAAAAAATTTTTTAAAAATGAGGGCTAGCCTCACATGTGTAAGGCCCTGGGTTTGATCCCCAGCACCACAATAAATAACAATTTTAGTTGTTCTATGAAAAAGAGATGGCATATACGTCTTAACATACTTCTTGGAAGTAGCATATGCTAACGTTATTTGCTGAAGCTGGGGCACTCTTCATACTTGGTCACAAATGACTTGCCCAACACATTGTTTTACAGGAGGAATTATTTCAAGACAATAGCCTAAAAATCAAATCATATGAGGTAGAGTAATACTGTTTGGGAAGTTATGAATTTTCTATTCATGCACCTTGGGAAAATTCACACACCTTAGGCAGATAATTTATGTCAGCTCAGGTATGTATGAAAACCAAATGTCTGCTTTGTGATCTTGCATACTGATAGAAAAATGTGCCTTAGTTTATTACTGACCATTCCGTGTAAACTCACCTTTTCTCAGTTTCCCTTTTATCTTTCTTTGCCCTGTTGTATTTCTTCGTTTTTAACTTTTGCTGGTATGAGCTGACATAAATGAATGAAGATTTTAAGATTTACAGTTTAAAAAACCATGGAAGAAAACATTTCTGAATTGATATCCTATCAATTTCTGTGTGTTGCTGGTTCTAGGAAAATAAATCACTGACCTTTTTGACCTGTATGTCAGCATAAGGCAAAAGGAAAAAGAGTTGAGACACAGGAAATTATCAGGTCAGCTCAACTCTGTTTCCAATGAAATAAGTCAGAATTTTTGAAGATCTTGGTGGTTTTTAAAATTTAAAATGAAATCCATTCTTATAAGAAAATCTATGCCACCAGCTATTGTTTCCCAGTGGAGTTCTGCCTTGCAGCAAACTAAAATGTCATTGACAGTATATTAGTTTTATACCGCTGCTATGATAAATTACCACCATTCAGTGGCACACACAATGCAAATCTGTGGATCAGAAGTCCAGTGTGGGTCTCAGCGGGCAAAGGTTTTGGCAGCTCAGTGTCCCTTTCTGGAGGCTCTAAAGGAGAATTTGCTTCCTTGCCTTTTCTAGCTTCTAGAGGCCACTCAAATTCCTTGGCACATGTCCTCTTGGTCCATCTTCTAGGCCAGCAGCAATGGGTTAAGTTCGTCTCACATCGTGTCATACCTTGATTCTGCTGTCACACGTATTTTTCTGACTCCAACCTGTCTGCTGCCCTCTTCCATTATTTTTCTGTCTCCCTTATTAGAACCTTTACAATTATATTGGTTTTACACTTATAGTTTTCCCATTTCAAGAACAACTGCTTAGCAACTTTAATTCAATCATCTTTAAGCTTAATTCTCTTTTGCTGCTTAATGTAACACATTGACAGGTTCTGAATATTAGGATGTAGATATCTTTGGGGGTCCTTTCTGCCTACCACATACAGATTTGAACTCCCCTCCATCACCATCACCTTTATCTTAGGAGTATTGGCTTTGTAACATCACAAATGACAAATGTTTACTGCCTTTCTGCTGACCAACACACACACACAATTATAAATCCCATGTAAAGTGGTACAGCTTAAAAATGAATTCTACAATGCTGCTTGATAAATTGCTGTAAGATGCACATTTTAAAAAAATGTTTCTTCACTAGTAGTTTCTTTGTCACTTAGTCCTCAAAATCTAACAAGGGAGTCTCTGTCAACTGAAGGTATCCTTAGATAAAATTGAGACTTGCTACCAAAGACCAGGCAATAGAAATAGAATCCCAGGTACAATGGCAAGTAAGTTATTTGAGAGCTTTTTAAGATTTCTATTAGGTACAGAGAAGAATCACAGACTTGGCCATTATAAAGTTAGAAGCTATGGTATAGCTAGAAAGTGCTCTGCAGCTATTCTCATTTACTTATTGTCAGACTCTGAAATTTATAAATATTAAATATCAACATTTTGTTTTGTTGCTGAGCAAAATACATCTTAAATTTATCTGGACAAATAGCCAAGGGTACGTATAATTATTATAAAATTGAATTGTACAGCCTGTAGCCATAACAGTTAAATATGTCCTGGGCAACTTTTAAAAATCACATTGATTGCCTTTATCTAGAATTTCATTGCAAGGATTCCAAAGAGGTAACATGGAAGTATTCACAAGTAATAGTACAGTATATACTTCACTCCAGAAATATGTATTAATTCTAAAATCAGAATTTTTTTTTTCCACTGGGTACTATGGCATACACCTATAATCCTAGCAGCTAGGGAGGCTGAGGCAGGAGGATCACAAGTTCAAAGCCAGCCTCAGCAACTTAGACCCTAAGCAACTCAGCAAGATCCTGCCTCTAAGTAAAAATATAAAAAGCGGCTGGGGATGGGGCTTAGTGGAAAAGCATCCCTGAGTTCAATACCTGGTACCAAATACACACACACACACACACACACACACACACACACACTTTGCAAAAGAAGTAGCTGGGCACAGTGGCAAACACCTCTAATCCCAGCTTCTTCGGAGGCTGAGGCAGGAGGACGGTAGGTTTAAGACATCCTGGGAAAATTAGTGAGACCTTGTCCCAAAATTTCAAAAAGGCTGGGGTTGTTGCTTGGTTGTAGAGCAACTTGCCTAGTATGTCCAAAGTCCTGGTTTTGTGGGCTGGGGTTGTAGCTCAGCGGTAGAGTGCTCACCTAGCAAGTGTGAAGCCCAGGGTTCAATCCTGAGCACCACATATAA